CACACACACACACACACACACACACACACACACACACACACACACACACACACATAACGTTCGAATGCATGTCGGATGGTGAGCACGCAATGTGCTCGTTAAAAAAAAAAAGAACTCCATGTTGCGGCCCCATCCTGGTAACAGTCGATTGTGTTCTATTCGTGATATTATTACTAATATTTATTGTGTACCCACCCCTCCCCCCCGTTGCCTAGGAAAGTTGCATCCTAAAATTTGTTCTACAAGGTACGTACCTTGTATTCGTATACAAGGTATGTACCTTGTTTTCGGGTTTAGACGGTAGAGTCCTTGCTGGGACCTACAGCAACATGGCATCCAACCGATTAAAATAAAATAAAATAAATGTTCGGTCCATTTTTGCTAGAAAGTAGCCAAGTGATTACAACAAATAATCTCATACTCCTACAAACAGTTTTGTTCCTACTTTTGACTAGTCTGAAACAGATTGCAATGAAGTCAAGAATATTTCCTACTCTATCTGCAACAGTTTGTGAGTTGCTAGCAAAGTCAATAGCAACTAACTAATCAAAAATTATGAATAAAATCATTTGCTGGTGTGCATACAGAATGGAAATATACAATAATTATTAGTCGAGCAGTGTATTGGAATCTTCCCTTCCCCTGTATCCTTCTAGAGTACTCACTTTGTGTCAACGTCTTGAAGCTCTGGTTCAGCGGCGTGTCTGAAGGTGTGCAATCGGCCCACCCCTATGAATCCCCCGCGGCCCCGACCGCGGACCGTGGTCGGGGCCGCAGGCCCGCGGCGTCCGCAGTAAAAAAGGCGCGCCGCGGCCGAAGGGRGRGGGGKGSGRGGGRGCGGGGACCGGTTCCGGRGGGSRGGGGGGGGGGGGGGSTGTCACCCCAAAGTGAAAAAACATCAAAAAAGTACAAAGTGGGGAGGTGGTTTTAGGGGGGTGTTGGGGGGTTTGAAAAAAAATCAAGGACCCCCCCAAACCGAGTTCTGTCGGCGCCAAGGTGTCGGCAGGGGGTATACTTCCACAATAAACAAAGAAATATTTTTTTTGTCCTTTCTAGACTTCATTTGGGGAGTCTTGTCTAGAAAGGGCTTTTGAGAGGGGGCATTGGGGGATGGGAGCCTGGTGGTGTGGGCACTGTGGGGGTGTTGTGGGGAACTTGTGGGGGGTGGTAGGGGGGTGTCTATGGGTGCGAGGGCCCATTCTTGGGTGGGTAAATGGAGGTTTAACAGAGTTTTTTGGCAATGAAGGGACACCAACCGACGTGCTGACGTGGCACAACACCAATGAGCCATGTTTTTCCTCCCTGACACTCCCTCCACTCTCTCTCTCTCTCTCTCTCTCTCTCTCTCTCTCTCTCTCTCTCTCTCTCTCTCTCT